TAAGGGGTTAATGTAACTGTGAATCACTTTGGGCAACAACATTGCAATTAAATGTGCTATATAAATGATAACAGTTACTCCGCCCACTCCAGTTGTAGACTACAGGTGGAGGCAAGAACACTTCACACAATTTCCCCAGAAATTGTGGCTTTTCTAGTTTCTATTGAAATTGTACTTTTTTCCAAAATTCAAAAAAGAGAACAGACTCTTCACACATAAAGATTATCAGCAAGCTGAAGTGCTTTAGAGGCCTGGAGTGTCCCTTTAAGAGCCTTATTTACTAAAAGCCAATTTTGCTACTAAGAATTTAATCTGGAAACTCAGCCATGGTCACAATTTATTATATTTACCAAAATGTTGTCATTAAGTTTTCATTCACAAGAACTAGTTATTTATTGGATAACCCTGATAGGGAAGTGGGGGTCATGGGAGAATTTAATATTTAAAATGAACCTATATTCCTATCACCTGTATGTATTATTCAATCACAGCATATTACACCTAAGAGCGATTGCAAATGGCACATTACTCATCAGTACAGCGGATGTTTTAGGATTTGTGCCAACAACATGGAAACACCATGATGCCACTGCTTTAGTTACAGGATTACTTTCAGAATCTTATAAACAAATACTTCATACCAGAGCTCCAAATTCCAAATCCTATGCCGCTAGCCAGTCCTAAACTTAAAGGGATACTCCAGACCCCTAAAACACTTTAGCTTGCGGAAAAGCTTAATGTGTGAAGAGTGTGTCCTCTATTTCATTTTGCAAAAAGTGCAGACTTCAATAAAAATTTACACTTTTACAAATTATACTGGTTACACCACCTGGCTGTCAATGAGACAACCTGTTACAACCTGAGACAACCACTTAGCTCAGTGGAGCACCTGCCTTTCAAAGACTTCTCATAGAGCTGCATTGAGAAGTCTGTGATTGGACAGCCACAGAAAATCTGGGCGGGGTTAGAAGGAGAGAGCTTGTAAAGGCTGCAGACAGGAGATCTACAGCTTTTGCAAGCTGTTTTTAGATAAATCCCCTCCTCCCCCATAAAAAAAAATGCAAGTTTTCATTTGGGGTATATCTACTAAACAATTACTTTACTTTTGTGTTTGGGGAGTGGAGTGTCCCTTTAACTCTTTGCTGCAAGCATGGAGGTCCATGGTACACTATTCAGGGGTGAATGTAACAGTCCTATGTTATTTTTAAAACCACATAATATGGCAAGAAGATTGGTGCTGTGACATCGCTTTCACTTACCTGCTATTTAACAAGCCCAGAATCTCAAAGATAATAAGTTCAAACATAGTGCAAGAGAAGGCAAAGGTCACAGAGAAAACAACCTGCACAACATACTGCCGGACCTGAAATACAAAACAGCAAATACTGAATGGTAAGGCTACTAAAAACAAGAGAATAAAAAATAGGACTCCTAAAGAGGGTACAGAGACACCATCAACCTATGGATCATGGAAGGTGTTCACTATTTGATTTCCAGCTGACAGACTGCAAATCCCATTTGCCAACAGGATGTGTCCATCTAAAACTTTCTAAGTGAAGGCTGAGAATTACAGGAATTGCAGCTCAACACCTTCAGGGTCAGCAAATCAAGTTTTTCCCCCCAATGATTATAAGAAGTCTAAAACACAATAATTAAGGATCACTATAGTGTCAGGAAAACAAACTCGTTTTCCTGACACTATATAATCCTTAGGACTCCCCCACCCTCAGGGTCCCCCTCCCTTGGCGCTGAAGGGGTTAGAACCCCTTCAGCCACTTACCTTTATCCAGCGCCGGACTACCTCTCCTACCACTCCGACATCGGCTCACGAGTGGAAGGGAATACTCATGCGCATCCAGAGCCGCGCGCGCATTCAAACAGTCCATAGGAAAGCATTTCTCCATGCTTTCCTATGGTTGTTCTGCACGCTGGATGCGAATTTCGCATCCAGCGTCACAGAAGCGCCTCCAGCGGCTTTCAGGAAGACAGCCACTAGAGGCTGGATTAACCCTGCTATGTTTACATCTTAAGGGTTAAAACCTGGGGGACCTGGCACCCAGACCACTTCATTGAGCTGAAGTGGTCTGGGTGACTATAGTGTCCCTTAAGTTTAAAAAAAAAAAAAAACACAACATCTTTGAAACAGGTTACTTTGGAAAGTTCCTAACATCAAAGATATATTGTGAATCCCAAGAGGAAAATAGGAATAGAAATCTGAATGGGATCACAGTCTAATGTATGTGAGAAGTGAGTAGAGAGAAGTGCGGATAAGATGGTTTTATAGAAATTTCCAGATACAATGAGTTTTTATATACAGTATATAAATATTAAAGAAAAACTGTGGGACATAGGCATCCATTTAATTTTGTTGGATAAGCTTTCCAAATGATTTCATATATTTGGATAAACTTTTACAATTATTTTTTCAACATTTCACAATATAAAAAAAAAAAAAATATCATATGTAAACAATATAAAAATATTACAAAATTAAAATGGTTTTCCTAATACAGCAGCGCCGCTTTAATTACTAGCAAGAGAGCCTACAAGTGAATCACTGCTGATAAACCGGGTCCACCACAAATTATATTTTGAGTACTGACCTCATAGTCCTTGAACAGTTGGCGCATGAAGAACAGCCAACCAAAGCCGAAAAACAGGAGCTGTAGACAAGAGGAAAAGGACACCAGACCTTTAATAAAGTAAAACAAACAGTAAGAAACTTCCAGAGCAAAATAAATAGATTCACAATGCACTCCAGGAAGCCCAGAGATCCATTCTACTTTGCCTATGCACCATTACATGGTTAACAAACCCAAAATGCAACAGGTTAGTCAAAGCAAGTGCAATTGTGAAATTGTATTGATTATACTGATAGCAATACATTTTTGCAATTAAGCTATATTCAAAAAAAAAAAATGAATAGTGTAAGTGAATTAATCAGGTGACTAGAAATAAGTCACATGATGTAGTTAAAAACACCTAAATTATACACATTATTTATGAAACTCCAGAAGCCAGAGATCTTTGGTTCTTAAATATATTGAGTTTAAATGTTATTGTTCTGATTATGCGATGTTGTCATTATGTCTTGGAGTTTTGTTTCTGGTCATTTAGTACCTTCCTGACACAACTAATACACTTCTTGTGGAGCATATCTGTAACGTGCATCACTATCTCCACCTGAATCGGCAGAGAGAATAATCTGTTTTGAGATACCTGAGAGATAACCATAAGGATGGAGTCAAAAAGGAAGCTCATGATTGCAAATGTAACTCGGCGCTCTGATAAAGAGGAATCCAAAAATATCCAGCAGAGTGGTTTCTAAAATGATAACACGATGTGAGTGTCCACAGCTCTCATCAGACTACTGATTAGACGGTTCTTCCCATGTCCCTTGGGTTTACTGCTGGTTTGATCTACAGAGAAAATATCACCAGTACATACTTTAGAGACCATAAGTAACTTATCAAATACATCTGTAGCAACATCTATCATAAAGAATGTGTTACCTCGAGGTAACCCCAAAATTATTCCAGTGTAAACCAGCCACAGAGATAAATCAGTTAAACAAACATTCCTACTCCCATAAAATGTTTAGCTCATTAAAGTTGTTATGAGGGCATGAGTGTCAGTGCGCCATTTTAGCCCCATGTGTTAAAATGGTTTGTAATGGTTTTAAACTGAAGGTGAGACTCCTGCACCCAGCACGTCTGCCTCCCAACTTTCTTACTCTCTGCGCTGCAATATCACGATGGGTTAGCCGGGATAGGGTAGCAGCTTCAATTGACACTCTCATCCTATCACTGGCCGCCCATTGAGAGAACTAGTATGTACTATTGGTTGTACTGGGCTAACCCACCATCAGCACAAGATTGTCCAGGTAATCCGACACGTACCGTCCATGTTACCCCAGCCAATGGGTAGGCAACCTCCAGCAGCCCACATGTTGCGGACAACATCTCCCCTGATGCTTTGTCAGCGATATGGTTGTAAGAGCATTATGGGAGATGTAGTGCACAACATCTGGAGTGCTGAAAGTTCCCTAAATCTTGCCAGGACACTGCAGTGAGGTAAGGCAGCTTGGGGTGAGTCTTAATTTTTCTAAAAAATTGTTTGACAGAAAATTGGGGGATGGCCTTCGGAGACCCCTACCACCACCACCACCAACACAATGAGCTGCAGTGATTATGGTGCACAAAATGCCACTTTGGGAATCATGGGAGTTGTAGTTCTATCAGGGAACCTGCAGTTTTATTAATGACCTGAACCCACTTTCATTATGAGTAACTTCCCCCCCTGTTCACAGTCCCCCCCAGCCCCCTGTTCACAGTCGTCGTCCCAGCCCCCTGTACACAGTCGTCCCCTCTTCCCCTGCCCCCTGTTCACAGTCCCCCCTCTGCCCAGCCCCTGTACACAGTCGTCCCTCTGCCCAGCCCCTTCAGTCGTCCCTCTTCCTGCCCCTGTTCACGGTCCCCCCTCTGCCCCAGCCCCTGTTCCAGTCGTCCCCAGCCCTGTTCACAGTCCCCCCAGCCCTGTTCACAGTCCCAGCCCCCTGTTCACAGTCCCCAGCCTGGAGTCCCCCAACCCCCTGTTCACAGTCCCCCCAACCCCCTGTTCACAGTCCCCAGCCCCTGTTCACAGTCCCCCAGCCCCCTGTTCACAGTCCCAGCCTGGTGCGGTCCCCCAGCCCCTGTTCACAGTCCCCAGCCCCTGTTCACAGTCTCCCCTTCTGCCCCCAGCCCCATATCTCACACTCTGAGGAGCTCTCCATCTGGCTGCCACTTCATGGTGTTCTCAGCAGGGCGCACACTAAAATCGTCATGCGGTTCACCGTCGGCGAGCCACCCTCTGATTGGCTCGTGGCTCTGATTGGCTCTGGGGAGAGCCAACCACAATCCCCCGTGTCAGCGCAGAGCCAGGCTCTTGGTTACTAGATGGGCGGGCGTATCCAGAGCGAGGCTTGGAACGCGGATGTGCGCCTCTCTTGGATCTGAGACATGCTTATAGGTGATATAGTGAGTGTGGCTGGGAATGACTGAGCTCTAGGACATGTGGGTATATTTACATACATACATATATATTATTATATTTATAGATACTACTTTAACATTATAAAACATTGGCAGGTTAAAGGGCCATTACTAAATGTGAGTAAAAATAATATAATAATATAATATGTATGAATGAGTGAGTGATAACTACCTTACCTTTTTGTGTCATTTTACCCCACTCCCTCTAGCATGTAAGCTCATTGAGCAGGGCCCTCAACCCCTCTGTTCCTGTGTGTCCAACTTGTCTGGTTACAACTACATGTCTGTTCGTCCACCCACTGTAACGCGCTGCGGAATTTGACGGCGCTCTATAAATATCATAATAATAATAATAACTAACCCTGGTACTGCATGTGTTCACTGAGATTCACAGGAAATGTAGTCCACAAACAGCTGCAGTGTGTAAAGTAGCTCCCTTTTGTAAATGTGGATAAATACATGTTTACCCTATGTGTACATGCAGTGATTTTACATCTGGGACATTATGTATCATCCTGTTTGTGTTATAATTCGATAGACATGGGGAGCATGTTCACAGCTTTATTTGTGCTGAACTGAATAAAAATCAGGTTGCAAAATGTTAGGTTAAAATAGCCAAGCTGTGACTGAGAAACGTATGTCTGCTATGCTTCCAGTTCAGCTACTTTAGTCTTACATTTGAAGTTCTTGTTCAATTCACCTTGAATATCCAACCAATTTAAATTTTTGTAAATTACTCTGATTGTGTGGCAAACAGCATCTCCCGTCTGTATCACTTTAAAAAGGTATTGTCGGCAGACAAAGCTGGACTTAGACACAGGATTCTTAGGGACCACTACTCCTCCTCTACATATCCATGAACGTCTTGCTGCCTCTGTGAATGGGAGGCGCGCATGAAAGTAAGGATGCACATCGCTCACTTCTCTCTTCTGCTAATAGAACAATGCAGTTACCATGTAGTAAAATATGCCAGGGCGTGACGAGTTTGCTCAGAATCTAGGAGCCAGCAAAAAAAGTTATGAGCCAGGTTTTTGTATTTCAAAAATACAAATATTAAAGGGAAAAGGCAGTATTTACATTATTGACTAGTTACACTTCTAGTGATAGTCACTCAGACGCCCTCTAGAGGTGCATCCTGGATCAGTGCTGCACAGCACCTATGTTTAATGTCTCCACGCTCTGCATGGAGTTGTTGAACGTTCCCCATAGAGATGCATTGATTCAATACATCTCTATGAGGAGATGCTGATTGGCGCAGCACAGTGTTTTGCCACACATGCGCAATAGTCTCCTAGTGCTTTCCTAGGGGAAAGCATTGGATTGGCTGAGATCATCAAGATTGAAGATTGCAATCATGGAGGCAGGGCCAGCTGCGGCGAGACCAGCTCAGCGTCAGGGCGGGTGGGGGGGGAAGGGAAGTAAAAACCGCTTTCCCATGTGATTGAATGAAGACCAGTCACCTAAACACACACACATACACACACGCACCTGACAGACAGACAAACGCACACACACTCACTGACTCTTTCTCAGCTGGCCGACCACACACATGCCCACTCTCTCAGCTGGCCGACCACACGCTATTGCTCTTCTTGAGCTCATAAAGAGCATGGGCGTGCGAGTAGTCGCCCGCCCGCCCGCCGGCCTCCACTTATAGGCAGCTGACCACCTCGAAGGCTGAATGGGACAACAAATCCTAGTCACCATGGCGACCTGGCGCATGTGATTTGTCGAGCCTTGAAATATGCACATTCTTACTCTTGGCAGACAACACTAGAAGAGCGGCTTCTGCTTGCAACTACTGACTCTGGAAATGGCAATTTGTATTATTATTTATTTTGATTGTGTTAAATAATCAACAAAATATATTGGTTATTCAAATATTTCAAACTTACACCCCTACTATAACAGTATGTCTGTTAACCAGAAAATAAATATCTCTTCACTGCTGATGATCCTGATGGGTATTTAATCTAATTTAACAGGTTTTTGCTTCTTTTTCAGGCTCAGTCAGTCTCATTTGTGGGCAGAATATGTGGACCATATTAAGGAGCAGGCTGTTACTCAGTGGACATTTTTCATCATGTGACGTGTGCCGGGCCATGTCAAACCATGCTTCTATGCAGAGCATAGCCAAGCTGCAGGAGAGAAAAATAAACAAACTGATCTTTCCAATTACAGATTTGGAGAAGTTTCTAGGCCCCGGTGTTGATAGAACTTATTTTAGACTTTTCAATCCTAGCATTGAGCAGATTGTTAAAGCTGAGGAATTATTTAGGTCGTCAGGCAAGCATGTGATCGATTATTACACTTCGGCTGTCAGAATGGATCATACGCCCTCACTCACGCAGCCAGAGGTTGGTGGAAGCCAGTAAATACTCCTATATCCTACAATGCTTAGCATGAGTTCCATGTATAGAGAATGAGGGCGGCTCTTGCCATCCCACAATGCTTAGCATGAGTCCATGTAGAGTGTATCAGGACTGTTGCTCCCATCATCCCACAATGCTTAGCATCAGTCCATGTAGAGTGTATGGGGGCTGTTGCTCCCATCATCCCACAATGTTTAGTGTGTGTCAATGCACAATGTACAGGGGCTGTTACTTTTAATACCCGCCGTGGGCTTTCTATCCATTACAGTATTTTCTTATATTTTAGGTATGTTTCATAGGAAGAAGTAATGTGGGCAAATCAACGTTGATAAAAGCCTTGTTTTCGCTGGTGCCTGGACTTGAAGTTAGAGTGTCAAAAAATCCTGTGAGTAACATTATGCACAAAGCTTCGGAACACGTTGTATGTAGTAGTTATACATTACACAGTTTTACTAATCTTACTGATTTTGTAGCAAAAGAATAATTGCAAGCATGTTTTTGCATGGACTTCTCACAATTGAATACAGTTTGATGAAAACCAGAGGGATACTTCAGTGAAGTACTTGCACCATAATCACTTCAATTAATTACATTGTTTAAGGTTCTTGGAGCATCTCTTAATGGTCTAATTCAACTTTTCATACTCTGCCTTATGTCTTCTTATGTAGTTTTTATGCAAATTATTAGCTCAACCCTATCAGCTGATAACCGTAATATATATATATATTTTTTTTTTACAGGGTCACACAAAGAAACTGAACTTTTTTAAAGCAGGGAAAGCGTTTACTTTGGTGGATATGCCAGGCTATGGTTATCATGCACCTGAAGATTTTACTGATATGGTAGAGGAATATCTTCAGAAGAGACAAAAGTAAGTGTAACCACATAGGAAAGAACCAGATAGGGCCTATTTAGTTTGGTGGCTATTCATTAATCAGTGGAAGTGGAGGGGTGTGTTGACAGATGAGTTGCAAATATTTTCCTCTTTCTGTATTTTTTTTGCTTAAACTTTGCAAAACAGTTGTCAACTGGCGATTTAATGAATAAACCTTCTATGTTTGAAAGGCTCTCCTATATCCACCACCTATTTTGTAAAAAAAAAAACACATATATTTATATATATTATGCGTGCATGTTCAGGTGAGTGTACAGCCCCCTTGGTTTTATATATATATATATATATAATATTATTATTATTTATTATATATATATATTATTATTATTTATTATATATATTTTTTTAATTATTATTTATTTATTTATTTATTTATTTTGAGTTTTTATTAAGTTATATATAGGGAGGGTGCAAAAAGGAAAAATAATGATGGTGGCCATGGAGGAAATAACAAGGAAGTGGCCTCACCGTGCAGTTAAGTTGCAACAATTTTGTATATCACAATTCCGAATTCGATCGTGATTGTTACGGTAACATCTCAGCATTGTAGGAAGGGTAGTGACAAAGGTCTGACTCATACCATCACCATAGGTCCTTGGACAAGATAATCAAATCAACTCACATTGGGAAAACGCCATCTTGATCAAGTAGAGTAGTACGCCGTATCATAGAGTCAAGGCCAGTCAAGCCTTGCCCGATCTACATGTGCCCCACTTGCCCCAAGCCTCCTGGAACACTTTGTTGGGGTATATATGACTGTGTCCAATGGACTGGAGCACTGATTCAGTTGGGTGTGCAGTGGCGATTTCCACTGGGCTGTTAGTATAATATTTGACGGTATTTTCTGTTGGGCTTTTGTCAGCTTGTCTAGATTTAGGAGTAGTAAGTAAGTTTGTGAGGTGAAGGGTACATGTGATCTTATTGTTTGCCTTAAGACAGAGTGTATTTGCCCAAAAAGGTTGTATAACAGGGCACGACTACCAGATATATTTAATTTCCTAATCCTCTATGACATCTCCAGCACTTTTTTGACAAAGAGGGGAATATTTTTTTATTATCTAGTTGGTATCATGTACTATCTATAGAGATTTTTTTTTTTTTCTATATTGTTCGATGTGGAGAGGGTAAATACTTTGTGTAAGGTAGAAATCTGGTGCCATTGGTCAGGTGAAATTGGGCTGTTAAAATCCACTGCCCACAGTTTTGAAATGTTGGAGTCTGGGTTTGTAGTATCCGGTAGCACATGAAGATCGGTTTAGTAGTAGGAGACTATACTGTAGTCTTTTAAGGTCGCCAATACTTGTGGTAAGAAGCTATCGGGTCTGTAATTGAAATGAGCAGCAAAGAGTCAACTTTGTTTCTTGCGGCCCCTTATTCACTCCCTGATTGTCTATTTTACTTTGCAATAGAGGTTCTAATGCCAGTACATATAAAAGCAGTGACAAAGAGCACTCCTGTCTTGTTCTGTTTGTTATCGAAAACAAAGATAAGAATCCCTCCTGCAGAATAAAAGCTTGTAGCTTGGTGGAAAAGAGAGGCGTCCAATATAAGGGAGGGAAACCAAATTTATATAAGGCCTCCTCAAGGAACTGTAAGTTAAGGCAGTTGAATGATTTATCTGTGTCCAACACCAGAAGTCTGCCCAACAGAGAAGATTCCTAATGTTATCCATGGCTTTGTATCCCTAACGAATCTGTTTGATAATTGGATTTGGTAATATTGGTCCAATTCTGTTGGCTAATAACTTGGCAACTATCTTGACATCTGTGTTTGAGTTATATAGGATGAACATTTTTGTCCGGTTTATCTGATTTTGGTAGCATGACTATGGTAGCTTTCAACATGTTTGGAGGCAGTTCGCCTGTTGACGAGTCTGTTTGGAAGACATGAAGGAGGTAAGGAGTTAGGAGGTGAGCATATCTCTTATAATAACTGTTAGGAAAGCCGTCTGGACCTGGTGATTTACCAGTAGGTAGGGTCCTTATTACCGTTTTTTCTCTAGAGTGGGTGGGCCAGTGAAAGCTTCTCTGTGGTCATGCGAAAGGTGTGGGAGAGGCACACAGGATAAATATTACTGTATATCTGAGAGGGGTATGTGTGTGTGTATTTTGACTGTTCACAACATGAAATAAAATGTATATCGGGCAACTTGAACTGAGCATTTCACCTGTCTGGTTGACAGCTCTGGGATTAAAGGCCTAAATCATATGAAAACAATAATGCAAATAAATTAATATTCTTTATATCTAAATCAAAAAAATGAAATTTATATATTATAGTGACCTATTTTTTCTAACTAGATTTTATGTAATGCTATAAGAAAAATAAGCAGATGTTGCATTGTGTGATTGCATCTGTATCGAATAGACTTAAACTTAATTTGACTATTTTTATTTATAACAGTTTAAAAAGGATATTTTTGCTTGTGGATGGGTCCATTGGTCTTCAAAAATCTGATTTAATAGCCATTGAAATGTGTGAAGAATTTGCAAAACCTTATGTTGTAAGTAAGACCTTTTTTTTCATTATTTATTATTTTCTTTAATTTCAAGCTTAATTACAGTATTATTGATCTGGGTGGAGAAGCCAGTAGTAAATATTCTGTTTGGGGTGTTGTCATTATATATATATATTCTTACTGTACTTGCATACATACTAACAGTTCCATATTTGGCAAGACCGTCACAATTCTCTGTTGCATGTGCTGTGTCTAGAATACATTTTTGAAGAAGGCCATTGTAGAAGGGATTAGATGGACCTATAGGTGCATTCTGGTGGTTGTTTAACTCTCATAGCAGCTAGAAATACACTTTAATCTAAGCACCATCATCACTTTATCTCATTCAAGAGCAGTGGGGGAATATGGAAAGCAGTTAACATTGAACTTAATCACCACATAGTTTTAACCCCCTTAAGGACCAAACTTCTGGAATAAAAGTGAATCATGACATGTCACACGTCATGTGTCCTTAAGGGGTTAAAGGATTCCCAGAATGGTCACTTATTGACTTTAGAGTTTGGCTCAGGAGAGAACATATGACATGTCTGATCAATGGGCTGCTTTTGGATGACCTTTCTAGGGTCCAAGTTGCCCCTGTGAGCTTAGCTGGTCAACCAGGCATTAGTAAACGAACAAATGTGAAATATGTTAACCCCAAATGCTAATGTTCATTTTGTTACCAGAGTATTCTCTCCTCTGATGTTCTGCCAGGATTTAGTGAATAAGCTCCATTTGTATTTGAGAGAGCATTCAGACAATCTGCTTTTGAACTTACGTTAGTTTCTTTTCTTAGGTTGTGATAACAAAAATAGACAGACCCCCAACGGGAATTTTATTAACGCGCTTTCTAGAGGTTCAAGAATTTATTGTGAATAAAACGAACGGATGTTTTCCCCAACCCTTCCTAATCAGGTAAAAAAAATGCCAAGCCTCATTTGTGAAATGCACGGTCTTGTTTACTGCTTTGTAGTTAGTTACCATTTGTTAACATTTTTTTTAATATAATCCAGGTAGTTAAAACTATATAAATTAGTTTGGGGACTTGTTTATTCAAAATGAACCAATAAGGAGCGAACAGTCACTCACTGCTTTTCACAGTAAAACACCCTCATTTTTAAATGCAGATTGATTCAGAGGTAAGTAGATCTCTACTGCCACTTACATGTAAAAGTGACATTGACCAACATTAGCGGTAAACACTGGCTGAGACTTACACGAGAACTCATCCGATTACGCTGAAATGTCAGCACTGCATGTTACGAAATCTTCACCAATATACATTTTAGCACCATTTATTTTTGTTGATCATCTGTTTAGGGAACTTGTTACATTATTATTTCTCTCTCCACAGCTCCACCCAGTACTCTGGAGTCCACTTGCTCAGATGTTTCATTGCTCATGTAACAGGGAATCTCCCATCCACCAGCTGAATACATTTTGAATTTGCCCATTCTGTACCGGCTGGGTCTCATTGAACTCTATAATTATTTAAGATGAAATACAAATGTCTTAAAGAGAAGTAATCCTTTATCTCACCAATACTGTATCCATAGAGTCTTTGCACTTTAACCACTACGGTAAATAGGGTTTATAGTACTTAGGGTTATTTTAACTACCTTGTGTACATAAACTGTGGGACACAAACTAAATTGTTAGTCTGAATAGTTTCATTTGAAAACAAATCAGAACCAAGTTGCATCCGTTGTTTGGTATGTCTGAATTTCAATTGCAAAGTTTTATTGCAGTTGAAATTTGTCAACCAGTTTAATTTTTAATCTTACTCATTCCTGGCAATTGATGCGTAAACAAATTAGGGGAGCTCTGCCCCATACCACAATCACCCTATGCATTATGTTAACAAGCAAGTATGTGTGGATCAATGCTACTACCTACCACGCAGGCCCAGTCTGCGTGGGGGCCCTAAATTTGCCAAACTTGAATTGGTTTTGTCCTTTTTTTGAAGCTGAAGAAAAGAGGTATTCTAGGCCTCAGTACTTTTTTTTTTATTTTTATTTTCACACCCAGTCTCACGTCACTGCTACTCTCGGGAGGTACTATCAAAATACGTCTCATAGGTGGCGCATTTTCGATTCAGCTGCCCAAAATGTTATGTCTGCACTTGGCTAATATTTAAATAGTCCTCACCTTGGGGTGGGGCAGGACATTTGGTTCCCTAATTAAATTTTAATTGCCCCATGCAGGCAAGACACCATTTCCCACCTGTGTCAATAGCTGCAAGTCTTATGACAGTTATGTAGAGAGAAATGGGATACATATGTATGATCTGGAAAGAATATATTACCAAAACACTGTAATATAGTCAAAATTAGCAAACTGATAGGCTTACTAGATTGCACACACACAGAATATATAGTTAAAAAAACAAGTGCCTCTCCCGCTGGCAGTGGGGGACTACAAAGACTTCCTCACACTCACTGTTTGAATCCAGGCAAAGATGAAAACATGTATAAAAATGGTTATTAAACAAAAAAAAAAACCCACCAGTTCCTCTATGGGTTTTTTATTTTTTTCTATAAAAACTTCCTTGGGGACCTCAACTGACACAAAGCAATACAAATAAAAATGCCTGAATTCTTCCCTCCCAAAACACCCACTATACACAGGCAGTTCCTTGGTGGTACAGTGGGCATCAGTCTCACGCATTGAATCTTTACCAATCCCATTACTCCTATATGTCCACACCTCCATCATTACCTGTAAGCACTTGATATCCACACTGTCGCAGCCATATGCATTCAGGACGTAATTCTGTGCATTCCAATATCACTTCCACTTTTTGTTCCACTACCACCAATGCTTGTTTTGCCTTAATACATAGGTGGTTAAGGATCTTTAAGAATGTGGAGTAATGTGCTATAAGTCCGATACATCAGACATCCATGGAAATGGCACATTGCCAAAACCATATCAAAGAAAAGCCACCACAACAAGATGACAGTCTTAAATTAGAGGGGCAAAGGTTTAAAAATATCAGAGGGTAGTGGATGCATGGAATAGCCTTCCAGCTGAAGTGGTAGAGGTTAACACAGTAAAGGAGTTTAAAGGACCACTATAGTGCCAGGAAAACATACTCGTTTTCCTGGCACTATAGTGCCCTGAGGGTGCCCCCACCCTCAGGGTCCCCCTCCCGCCCGGCTCTGGAAGGGGAAAGGGGTAAAAACTTACCTTTTTCCAGCGCTGGGCGGAGAGCTCTCCTCCTCCTCTCCGCCTCCGTTACGCCCCGCCGGCTGAATGCGCACGCGCGGCAAGAGCTGCGCGCGCATTCAGCCGGTCTCATAGGAAAGCATTTACAATGCTTTCCTATGGACGCTGGCGTGCTCTCACTGTGAAAAATCACAGTGAGAAGCACGCAAGCGCCTCTAGTGGCTGTCAATGAGACAGCCACTAGAGGATTAGGGGGAAGGCTTAACCCATTCATAATTATAGCAGTTTCTCTGAAACTGCTATAATTATGAAAAAATGGGTTAACCCTAGCTGGACCTGGCACCCAGACCACTTCATTAAGCTGAAGTGGTCTGGGTGCCTAGAGTGGTCCTTTAAGCATGCGTGGGATAGGCATAAGGCCAACCTAGCTATAAGATAAGCCCAGGAACTAATTAAAGTATTTAGCAAATTGGGCAGACGAGATGGACCAAACTGTCCTTATCTGCAGTCACATTCTATAAAGGGCACTTAGTCAAAAAGTGCATTTCAACATTTTTACCGAATAAAAAGTGCAATGAAGTGTAATATAAAGTGCAGTCTTATGACAGTGACTGAAAGAGGTGCATGGACAAAACTTGTCAACGGTCATTTTGGTGACAAGAAGCTAAGATTGAGGCAACCAGTTGCAAGATAAAACAAGGTAAGAATTTTTATATTAAAACCACTGCTCTCAGCCACCTTATTTCAACATTAGCAGGTAATAGCTTCCTCCAATAGCAGAATCATTCCAGGGTCAGAGGTGGCTCTCTAATTAGGCTGTTTAGGCAGCCGCCTAAACTACATTAGGGCAGACTGTGTCAAGTCCTCGGTCAGTGACCAAGAACCAAGCGGCTTGCTCAGTATGCCGCTGGGTGCATGGCCCCTCCTGTCTGCCCAGCCAGCGGTCTGCAGACCATGTGTCTCATGAGAACTGGCCAATCAGAGCGATGCTGCGGGTTAACATGGCAACGGTTTGACGTGTCTCGCGAGATACTATGTCTGCAGACCGGATATAATGGCCACTTGACCACCAGGTAATAAAAATGTTAAAAAAAAGAAAAAAAGTGTTTAGGCCTCCCCTTCACCCCCTTTCCCCTCACTCCATCACCCTCCCCCACACCATCACCCTCACACACAGCCTCCCCAGACTCACTTAGCATCCCTTCACACCGTCACCTCCCCACACAATGTCACCCCTTCCTACACTGTCAGCTTCTTCATGTAACTTAAATTAACCACAACTAATCCTGTTAATATCACCCCCTCTATACTCACCTGCCACATTAACCCCCCTTAATCCTGCCACAATTGCCCTGACACTTACCTCCACTCGCCCTGTCACACTCAATCAAATCATGTCATACTCCTTCATTTTCTCACAACCCTCCCTTACCCTGTCCATTTACTCCTTTCACCCTGTCACTCTCCCTTTACCCATTTTGTCACAGTCACCAGCTGAAGACATGTATCATACACACACACAGTCAGGAAACATAGCTTTGCCATAAACACAATGCACAAAGGCTACAGGCAGACCCCCATACACACACTTCAAGCAGCTACCCCATACACATACGGTCCCAGACAAAAACACAAACATGTTCACAGAGATACATTCACACACAAGGATACTCAGACACACTCTTGGGCACATACACAGGTAAACTGTGCATATGTGACAGTGTGCATGTATTGCAACGCAATTTTTTCCCTCTTTTGTTAGTGGGGCCTCATGTTTGAGTTTCACCTAAGGCCTCAAAAGTCTAGAGCCGCCTCTGTCCAGGGTTATAGGAAATTCTCACTTGTGAAGAGTAAAAATTTGGTCAATGCCGATATTGTGCAATACAGATTCCAACTATGGGCAGGGATCTCGAATGTCACCATTTTAACCCCTTTCCCCCCCCACTCCATAGAATACCAGTGCAATGAATTAACCAGAACACACTTTAAAGTTACAGGTTCTCTTTATTAGTTTTATGAAGGTCACAATTGAATCTGTTTGGTCATCCTGCAAACCACTTAATCTATACAGAGGTGAACATAAAATTGCAGCTTGTTCAAGTTAGGAACTTTTAAAAAGGAAATTCACTTAAAACCAATTTAAGCATGCACAATACACGATATTTAAATTAAGTATAAAATGTAAGTTGCCTTAAATTTTGAGGAAACATTTTTTTTTTTCTTTACCATGAAGATTTGAACTACTAACATGGAAAATTATTAGCGGGGTGAGTAAGATTAGTTAGTACTCACGCTCACTGTGTGCACACGCCTCTGGAATTATCTGCCCCAAACAGAAACTGAACTCATGAGCTTGTTTTGGCCATTTGAACAGATACATATTACAAAGAACGGGCAGACAAACAAATGAGAAATTCTGTTATGTATAAACTGGCAAGATGGAACACAACAAAACCAGTGGATTTGGATTTTAACTTGCACAATTTGGAGCTTAATGAAAACCATGGGGTTTTCATTAAGCTCCAAATTGTGCAAGTTAAAATCCAAGTGGCATAAAAAAAACTAATAGTATTTTGAAGAGCACAGGCTACAAAGTTGCTAAATCTACTACAAGATATATCTACAGGGTTATCTGCCAAAGTGAGAATTCAAAGTATAATTTCCAATTTTAGGACAAAGTAGCAAGCTATCATGCTAACTAGGCATATTTCCCAATAGTGCAAAGTTTAAGACAGAAATGTTTTTTTCCCTGGTTATATTTTTCCTAATAAAAAGGAGTTTCCCTAAACAAACATCTTCGTGTAACTAGGACACGTCAAAACACAAATCAGCTATCTTCTGGTGGTCCCACTATAAATGATAAACCAGCACAATACATTGATAAAAAGGAGGATACAAATAAATAGGGTAGGCCAGAGACATAAAGATGAACGGTTTGTAAGGTAGAAGACATAAAAGGTTATGCTGAAGAGTGAACTAGCTCATAATGTGGAGGGTGTCTGTCTTTTTGGTCCTCTTCAAGGTCATCCTTTTGCTTGATCTCTGGGTGATGGATTTCAATAAATAGTTGATAGAGAATCACACCGACTAGGGATCCTGCCAGAGGTCCAAATACAGGTACCCACCACCAGTTAGATCCAGCCCTGAGTAATAAAAAAAAAAAAAAAAAAACGATAATACATTACCAGATGTAGGTCCCACACACTTTGTCCAGAGCGTTTTACTTTTGGGGAAGGGGAGGTTCTATTACAACACAACTTAATGCCAGAACCTACTCTACAAATGATGAGAAATAGAAGCAAATGGATGTTGCATCCCTTACCTCATGTATACACATTGTTAAATATAGTAAGTCGAATTACAGTTGACGAAAAAAAAAAAAAAACTTGCACCAAAGCTTTTGGGCCAGATAATTTTTGGTGGTTCTCATGGCAGTTGAGGCAACATTAGTTCATTACACACAATGTAAGGAAGGGAACAGATCAAGGAGGTTGGGAAAAGAAAGGTGAAGAAGAGAAATTGAATTACAAATAATGATTTCAAGTTAATTAACCTACCAGAAAACTTCCAGACCCCAGCCAGCAATAGCAGTGAAGATGCGTGGAGCCAGGTCTCGGGCAGGATTTATGGGGTAGCCACAATTAAAGCCCATTGATAACCCAACGAGCAGAACTACGATTCCAATCATAAAGGGTTGGATACCACGAGGAGCAGCATTGTTGGCTTCATCCAATATGGCCAAAATGGCAATCATTAGTGCAGCCGTAGCAATCACCTGTGAATTAATCAGAAAGTGTTTTGTTTTTGATCACGGCAAGAACCTTACCGTAAATTCAACCCTTACCTGATCTGTAAAGCCGTTGATATGGCTCAGATGTTCAGATGGGTAAGAGGCAAATATCCCTGCAGTAGACTGAGGTCCGGTTACTGTGAAGTTCCCACTGCTGTAGACATATAGGGCATCTTAATAAAATAAGATATGTAGGAAGTTAGAACTACTCCTTTCTTTAAGAGACACAACAAACTGAATTTAAAATTTAAAGCCAAAATAGACAAATTGGGCAAGAGATGGCTGTTTGTGGTGTTGCATAGGCTGCCTTTGGTGTATGTATGGAGACAGAGTGTAGTATTGTGTTTGTAGGGATGTGGATTGTGGTGTTGCATGTCTGTTAGTACAGACCTAGTGACTGCTGCTCCACTCTCCCCTATCCGTGCCTCTGAATTCAAGTTTGTGCTGCTACAGTGGCAAATTGTCTTTCTGGCAAACTTATACCAAGTTTCAGTGCCTTCTTGTAAGACAAGATAGACAACACTATCAAGTGAAAGCATTTTGACTGAAAGATCTGTTCTAATAAACTTGCAAAACCATTAATGAATTTGGATATTTTACAATTCTTGTTAAACTATACCATAAAATGAGTCATAGTGATGAATTCCCATATTAGGCCAGACAGTTTCTTTAGTTTCGATCCTTACCATAGTACAAGAAGAAGACGAAGGAAGCACCAACAAAAGACCCTAGAAACTGCGCCAACCAGTAGACCAGCATCATTCTCCAAGTTAGTTTATCAAGAAGAAACATTGAAAGAGAAACAGCGGGATTCAGATGGGCTCCTGCAAGGTACAAGAACACAGGTAGCATGCGATATTTCCATCTCTCCAAAGAACCAGTTTCTTAAAAAGGGACACCAAGCGCCAAAACTCATCTCAATATAGGTTGTGCTGAGACTTGTCAGTGGGGAACCTGGCAGTTTCAGAGGTTTACATGTAAACCCCTAGAAACTTTTCATCCTCAAGACCTATTAATACAAGAGAAGCTTTGGAGTATGGGGATTGTGGCACATGGGTCAGGTACCCATGTCTACTCAATGACAGATCGTCAGTATGGATTTATTGTACCCTATTGTATCAATGCAATGTTTTGTGGACCCAGGACATACTTTAAAACAAGAGAAATCTCAATGTATCCATCCTGGTAAAATATTTTATAAATTAATTTAAAAAAAAAAAAAATATTACAGGAGAGGTGGCACTGAGCACACTGTATTCCAGGTGAACACAGTTACAAAAAGATGGAACAATGTCCATATGAAGATTACAGGGAATAGATGGAGAAAATCGAGAACATCTGAGCCACAGTATAGAGTGAACAACATATATACTGTTTGTTTTCCCAGTGCCTTATTCTATTCGGTATAATAAAAGGGGCACATCACATGCCACAATGCATGTTATAGTAAACTAAATCTGGTTTGTAAGACGCCAAGTACAGTTTTAGCAGCAAAAAAATAAAATAAATAAAGTTACATGCTGGGCATTTTTCTAAACCACAACCATTTGTATAGTTGCATAAAGTTTATTTATTTATTTTAAAGAAAGAGAAATTAACCTTTTCAGTAATTGGGGAAGAAAAAAAAATACTGGGGGTTTTATTTCTGTGGAGCTCTGTGATATAGACACATATTTTGTTTCTACCCTTATGTGTTTCCAAGGGATTTATAGGGTTTATATCAAACTGAAGGAATGAGCATCGTGAAGGGTCAGCCGGTAAGGGATTGTGAACTTACCAGACACACCAGCACATACATAAGCGCCAGCAGTCACTGCAAAGCCAAACGCCATATTAACACTCAAAAACTGAGCTTTGGCAAAGCCGCTTAACTCCATCTGGGCCACAGACCCACAGCCAAACAGCTAGAGAGAAAATGAGAAAAAGTCCGACATGAGAGGGCAGTTAGTATTACCCATGTTTCTAGCTAAAATTATACATTTGTTCATATTTCTTACATAAGAGTGGAGGGAAGTGGTGTTTCCTTATACGTAGATTACAGGACATCATTTTGGAACTTCTCTCCTTCAAAGGGCACACGGAGCGCAAAAACACACACAAACTGCACTCAGGGTACCTCAGACAATCACTCAGCCACTGGAAGCACTTTCAATAATTGAAATTCATGTTTGGTGTTGTAATGCTTCTCATACAATGGGTAGGGAGATGTCTGATCTGGGACATTTCTCTAGCTGAACCATAGTCACATCTTTGAGTAATAGCGAATGGAGAAGCAGTGAATTGAATGCTTTGCAATGAGAAGTATCAGTTCGAGCTCCAGACATTTTTGGATTAATATAATTTTTTTTTATTTTTTTTTTATTTTTTTTTTTAAGAGTAGTTGAATAAAACTACAGAGACAAACAAAGTTATAAACAGCAAGAGTAGGTGATTTGACAAGTGTGGAAGCAATTCATTTTTAAAGGGATCCTATAGTGCCAGGAAAACAAGAGCCATTTTCCTGGCACTATAGATTTCTAAGGTGCCCTCCTCCCTCGGTGCTGAAGGAGTTAAAACCCCTTCAATCACTTACCTAAATCCTGCGCCGATGTCCTGTTTGCATTAGGATTTCCCCATAGAGAAGCATTGATAAGGAAAAAAATCCAACGCTCAAGGTCCTCGCGCAGAGCTTGAGGACATCCAACTTCACAAAAAGGACCAAAAGGTCTTTTTCAATTCCGGAAGCACCCTTAGTGGCTGTCTGGTAGACAGCCACTAAAGGCAGACTTAGTGCTGCAATGTGAACATTGAAGTTCTCTGGAACTGCAATGTTTTACATTGTAGCACTAAGTGCAAAAGGAACACAGCACCCAGACCACTTCAATGAGCTAAAGTGGGCTGGGTGCCTACAGTGTCCCTTTAAGTGTTCATTTAACCAACAAACCACTGAATCAGTGATCCACACATAATGATTACTATAAAGTCGAGTTAGATCTTAATGAAGTCATTCTGGGACAGATATGCTGCACACAGGGCCGGTGCAAAGATTTTTGGGTACATAGGCGAAGATGTATCTTTCCACCTCTCCCCCCCCCCGCCAAAATAACATCTTCACCTATGTGCCTCTTAACCAGCCCCTCTCCCCGTCCATTAGTGGTCCCCTCCCTTCCCTGTCCCTTAGTGTTCTTCTAAGCTCTCCCCTCTTTTTCCTGTCCCTTGGGGTTTCTCTCCCCTCCCCTCCCTGTCCCTTGGTGCACCCCCCACCCCTTTAGTGGTCGCACTCCCCTTCCTGGTGTGCCTCCTACCTCTTTGTAACGTTGCAGAGTGGAGGATATCCCCTACAGGAGCTTCAATTTTCTGTACCTAGCCAGACTGACAGGGAGTGCTCTCTCAGTGAGCACCTCCGGTCAGTCTGGCCGGGTACAGGAAACAGAAGCTCCTGTACTGCGCTCCGCCACGCTACACTCAGTGGTGTATACACACTGACAGTCACACACACTCAATGACAAACACACAGACTCACTGATCTGACACACACTCATTCATTGACAGACACACTGATACTCATACACAGACTCAATGACAAAGATACTCTCACTGATTTGACAGACACTCACAAACATACACTGACAGACACACATACACTGCCACACTCATACACTCACATGCAGTACTCATACAAGAACTCACAGAAACAGACACACACACTCATACAATCACTCACAGACACACACATACACTCACAGACACACTCACTCACAGACACACATACTCATGCACACAGTCACTCACAGGCACACATACACTCACACACAGACACACACACACAGTCACACACACACAGTCACACACAGACACACACTCAATCACAGACAGTCACTCAGGCACACATACACTCACACACAGACACACACACACAGACACACACTCAATCACAGACAGTCACTCACAGACACACAGTCACTCAGGCACACATACACACACACACAGACACACATACACTCACACACATAGACACGCACTCAATCACAGACAGTCACTCAGGCACACAGACACACACACACAGACACACACACACACAGACACACACTCAATCACAGACAGTCACTCACAGACACACACTCACTAATTATTTTAATAAATAAACATTTTCCACCCAGCCTCCCTACCTGGAGAGCTGGTGTGGATGATGAATCATTCCCTGGGGTCCAGTGCGGCAGTGCTGTGATCAGACGCGGCGAGGGAGCTCTAACCTCTCTGCTCTGCTCCCTCGCGGCTGCCTTCTGATACCGCGGGAGCCGGGTTGATGACGTCATATTCCGGCTCCCGTGGCATCAGCAGACAGCGCGCGAGGGAGCAGAGCAGAGAGGTTAGAGCTCCCTCGCCGCGTCTGATCACAGCACTGCCGCGCCGGGGTTCGAGATGGTGGCCAGGCAGGAGGGAGAGCTTCCCTCCTGCCGGTCACTGAAATATTGCGCCCCCAGAGCCCGTGCGCCCAAAGGCGGCCGCCTGTGCCGCCTTATGGACGCGCCGGCCCTGGCTGCACAGCCTTAATGTTGAGAACAATGCCATTTACGAGAAAAGTACGTTCTGGGTTAGTTACCAAAGTGAATGTCAAAATTTAAGGCCAGAATAGTTGAACTGAAAGTATAGCTGACTTAGAGAATTGTTTGAAGGCAGCTATTTTGGCCTTACATTTTTAATTCACACTTTAATTGCTTACATTTTGCAATCCACACACCACTAGACGATGGCATACAAACAGCCAATATAAGGATTCACACAAATCTATTTCAACATGCACAGTATGCAGATGCTGCCCATACGGAATTATTAGGTTCCCAGATCACAACAATAGTCAGCATGTCTCAATGTCTGCATTGATTCTCTCCTAGAGAGAGATTGCAGACATACTGACTATTGCTGGCATCTTAGAACCTAATAATTATTGCTGCATTGGACATAGATGGTGTAACTTTTTTCAGACTGGATTGCAGGAGTGCCCTTTATTTCCATCTCACACATTTGCAGGGTTACGCACTATAATAAAAGTTTGGGGGAATTCCAAAACGTAAACGAGAATTATTCTCTAACTAGGCTTCCAATTCATCTCCTTTATCCCCAAGACTTCTCAGGTTAATGAATAAGAAACAAGTGGACAGGTTAATTCCAAAAATGAACAGGACAAGGACAATTTAATACATTCTCTCTCAACATAAATAAAAAAAAATACTCGATAATCCTTACTTACTATTAAAATGAGAGTCCCCAAAAACTCCGCCAGCCCACAGCGTACATATTGATTTTCAGTCCTACAAAAAGACTTCATCTTTTGCAGTAACCTGGAATGGGAGGCCATGGTATTCACTATCCCTCTCTTACAGAGCAGTGTGGACAAACTAATACCTGAATGGCATATCCCACTGTGTCTGGCACTCTTATTAGTTCTGATTGGAGATACTGAGAGAACCTGATTTAATGATTAGCTCACACTGACATCATGGTAGCTGGGCTCTCCCAGGGGTTTATTCACTAAACACTGAATTAAAACCTGAATTGATATTTGGACAGTAAAGTGGCTGGTTCGGAAAACAAACTCCAATTCAGATCTAGTCACATCTTGGATAATTTAGACTGAATCGTGTATTTCTATTTTCTATTTACCACCATTTAATGAGCAGTGGCAGCAATATTTACTAAAGTGTGCATTTAAAGTGAATCTCAAATTTAAGGCCAAAATAGCTAAATTCTGAAACTCAGTTATGATTTCAATTTGCCTACTTTGACCTTTTAATTTGATATTCACTTTGAATTCTCACTCCACTAAATAACCCTGTTAGAGTTTATTTAACTGGATTAAGGAGGTACTAAATGTAAGATCTTCGCTGCTGTGGTCAACTACAACAACTAGAGCAGGGGTAGTCAACCTTCTAATACCTACCGCCCACTTTGTATCTTTGTTGATGGTAACATTTCCTTACCGTCCACCAGTGCCACAGTAACTCATTTTATAGCGTAAGTACAATTATAATTTTTTTTAAATATGTACTTAAATTTATCTATTTTTTTTCTATTTTCTATTTTACTTTTTTTTTTTCTATGTGTGTCTGTGAGGTTCTGTGTGTGTGTGAATGGTGATTTGTGTGTGTTTGTGTGTGAAGGGTGTAGTGCGTGTGAGAGGTGCAGTGTGTGTGAGGGGTGCAGTGTGAGTGTAAAGGGTGCTGTGTGTGTGAAGTTTGCAGTGTGTGTGTTTGTGAGGGGTGCTGTATGTGTGTGAATGGTGCAGTGTGTGGGTGAGGGGTGCAGTGTGTGTGTGAAGGGTGCTGTATTTGTGTGAAGGGTGCAGTGTGTGGGTGAGAGGTGCAGTGTGTGTGAAGGGTGCTGTTTGTGTGTGTTCTCAATGCAGTTTGTGAAGTATTTATTTGCATGATATGCATCCTTGATGAAGTTATCCCAAAATAACAGATATTGTCAAATACTGCATATTTAAATGGACACTCCAGGCACCCAGACCACTTCTGCCCATTGGAGTGGTCTGGGTGTCAACTCCCACTACCCTTAACCCTGCAAATGTAATTATTGCAGTTTTCATAAACTGCAATATTTACCTTGCAGGGTTAACTCCTCCTCTAGTGGCTGTCTAGTAGACAGCCACTAGAGGACACTTCCGCTATGTGAGAACCTCCAGCATCGCCAAAATCCCCTTAGGAAAGCATTGAAAGCATTATTCAATGCTTTCCTATGGAGAGGTCTAATTGCGGCATTGCCGCGCATGCGCATTAGGTCTCCCCACGCCGCTGGCCGCGCATGCTCAATAGACAGCGTAGGCAGATCCTGAACCAGCGCAGAGGGACATCGGTGCTGGATACAGGTAAGTGACTGAAGGGGTTTTAACCCCTTCAGCAACTGGGGATGGGGGGTGGGAGGGAGAGGGAACCTGCAGTGCCAGGAAAACGGATTGTTTAAACAGTGAATTGTAGTAAATTGAAAAACAAACAGGAACAAAAAAACAAGCCAAAATAGGCAAGCAGTGACTGCAGGCTACTTGTAGAATTTTTAGAATTTAGCCATTTTAGTCTAAGAGTATAACAGTGCTCCACAGCAATAATACTCACAATAATGTGTCTGAGTGTATAACAGAGGTCCACAGCATTAATACTCCCAGTAATGTGTCTGAGTGTGTCATAGAGCTCCACAGTAATAATACTCCCAGTAATGTGTCTGGGTGTATAACAGAGCTCCACAGCAATAATACTCCTAGTAATGTGTTTGAGTGTATAACAGAGCTCCACAGCAATAATACTCCCAGTAATGTGTCTGAGTGTATACCGTGTTTCTCCGAAAATAAGACCGGGTCTTATATTAATTTTAGTCACAAAACACACACTAGGGCTTATTTTCAGGATAGGGCTTAGAGCCAGTCTGTCAGCCGGTGTCCACGCTGTGTAAAACCCCCCAAGAGACCCTCATCTCCCCCTCCCTGTAATATTCTCCCCTCCCTCCCTCCCTGTAATACTCTCCCCCCTCCCTCCCTGTAATATTCCCTGTAATATTCTCCCCCCTTCCTGTAATATTCTCCTCCTCCCACTCCACACACCAATACTCTCCCCCCTCCCTCCTGTAATATTCTCCCCCCTCCCTCCCTCCCTGTAATGCTCTCCCCTCCCTGTAAGCTACTCCCCCTCCCTGTAATATTCTCCTCTCCCTCCCTGTAATATTCTCCCCCTCCCTCCTGCCTATTACTCTCCCTCTCCCTCCCTCCCTCCTGTAATATTCTCCTCCCTCCTGTAATATTCTCTCCCTCCCTCCTGTAATATTCTCCCCCCTCCTGTAATACTCTTCCCCCTCCCTGTAATGCCCCTCTCCCTCCCTCCCTCCCTCTTAATACTCTCCCCTCTCCCTCCCTCTCTCCCTGTAATATTCTCCCCCTCCCTCCCTGTAATACTCTCCCCCCTTCCTCCCTCCCTGTAATACTCTCCCTCCTCCCTCCCTCCCTGTAATACTCTCCTCCCCCCTCTCTCCCTGTAATACTCCCTCCCCCTTCCCTGTAATACTCCCCCCCCTGTAATACTTCCCCTCTCTCCCTGTAATACTCCCTCTCTCCTGTAATACTCTCTCTCTCCTCCCTGTACACTTCCCTCTCTCTCTGTAATACTCTCTCCCCTGTAATACTCCCCTCTCTCCCTGTAATACTCCCTCTCTCTCTCCCTGTAATACCCCCTCTCTCTCCCCTGTAATACCCCTCTCCCTGTAATACTCCTCCCTCCAATCTTCTCCTCACCTGCTCTTCCTTGTAGCGTGGCCGAGCTCCTCTCCGGTCCGTGACCCGGCCGGACTGACAGGAAGTGCACACCCAGAGAAGTCATGCTTGAAAAAACAAAGTACACCCTTACTGCTTCCAAAGGAATTAAGAGGTGAAGTACCAGACAATTGTTGCTAATAAAATGCCCTTGATTAACTGATCATCAGCAAGTGCGACCATCCTATAAAAGCCAACATTTTAGCAGTTTCCTGGTTTGGAGCATTCAAGTGTGTTAAGTAGAGACATCCGCAATGATCTTAGAGAAGCAACTGTTGCTGCACATCAAACTTGGAAGGGTTATAAGGCCATTTCCAAACAATTTAATGTCTATCATTCTACAGAGAAAAAGATTATTCTAAAGGGGAAAAACATTTAAAACTGTTACCAATCTTCCCAGGAGTGGAGGCCCCAGCAAATTGGCCACAAGGTCTGACTGTGTCATGCTCAGAGGAATCGCAAATGGCCATAATGCACAGTGCCATGTTTGGCGAAAATCAAACACCACACAAACACCTCATACCAGTGGTGGAGGGGTGATGCAATGGGCCTAGGAACCTTGCAGTCACTGAGTCAACCATAAATTTCTCAATAGCAAAGCATTCTAGAGTCAAATGTGAGACCAACTGTCCGACAGCTAAATGTTGGCCTGAATTGGGTCATACTACAGGACAATGATCCCAAGCACCCCAGCAAATCTACAACAGAATTGCTGAAAAATAAATGAATCAAGGTGTTGCAAAGGCCCTTTTAAAGTCCACACCTCAATCTGATTGAAATGCTGTGGTGGAACCTTAAAGGGACACTATAGGCACCCAGACAACTTCAGCTCATGGAAGTGGTCTGGGTGCATTGCCACAGGTCACTTAACCCTGAGCAGGTAATTATTGCAGTTTTTGAATGGGTTAACTCCTCCTCTAGTGACTGTCTACCAGACAGCCAGTAGAGTTACTTCTGGGCTGTTTGGCGGCTTTTGGTTGCTAAACTGGTGGATGTCCTCGCGCTACGCATAGGGTGGTCCAGCGTCTCCCGTAACCCCATAGGAAAGAATTGCATAAGGCTTTCCTATGGGGAAATCCTAATGTGAGTGCATGCACATTAGGTCTCCCCTGTCAGAGAGACAGAGGAGGTGGACCAGAGCCAGTGCTGAGGGAAACTTGCCCAGGTAAGTTTAAAAAAAAAAAAAAAGAGTAAAAATGACTGCTGGGTGTGTGGTAGGACATAGCTACTATTACTACTACTACTGGCTAGGAGTAATGGGAGGAATCACTTCACACTTTTGGCCCTCTATGCAATAAAAACCCTTTGCATAAGGACACTCCTGCATTCACATATACTGACTTGTTAAGTACACATCTTAAGTAACTACATGTTGTATGAAATATTTTTCATCTATGGGTGGTGGTTAAAACAAACCATTGTGTTATAAAGTATGTAGGGTGCCTGTGTATTTTTCTAGTTGGGTTAAACACATCCCCCCACCCCCATATTATATAGTTATCATTCATGGTTCTATCCAACTTTTAGAGCCATGTAATTTAATTTCAAAGCAACATGGATCACACTGTTTTGAGAGAGACTAATCTTGCATAATTTGACAATGGGAAATTGTGGCTTTCCCATGCTGAGAATCATAGGGTTTATGGTAAACTAATTTGTACCTCACTGGATCCCTTGATCCCTTTTAGATCCTGTTTGTACTTAAGCACTAAATAACAAGTTATGAGTTGACAGGTCAGTTAGAAAAGTTCTCCAGCTCAGCTGACTTCAAAATCTTTTGGCTTATTTAAGGCGAAAAATAAGTGTGTATGTACACACACACACATACATATCCCAAAGAAAATGTGTGCATACCTTAACTGCTACTAACGTTCGCTACATTTCCTGGGGCACAACGGTCATCTGATTGAAAACAGGTGTTGTCCAAAAAAAAAAAAAGATAATTTTTGCTCATTTTGGAGATTTGCATCTCTCTTCATTATTGCTGTTCCCAAAGCACTATGACTTCATACCAGGTATTATCATACCCACCTTCTCTGCATTTTCATCCATGTATTTCTTTACTAATGTCCTTTATTATTTTGAAGAACCATTTTTATTGTCAGTCTTCGAAATAGCCCTTACTATTATAGTTAGTGTGTATGATTGCGTAGTGTAAGCATTTG